TATAGTTTCATTTCAAACATTTTAACTGTAGTGTGATAGAAGCGAGCCTTTAGTCATCCTGTAATACTCTTCAGTCTGAACTAAAAATGTCTGAGCTCATCCCAATTAAATCATCCTATATAACAAACAACAAGAGTCCATTTGTCAATGTATGTGTTTTAACATATTGTAATGTGGTATTGTTGAATAACTAAACTGTATTTTTATATTATCTTTACTTTTTATTTGTTATTATAAGTCATGTGTTGCGGACCTCCTGGCCAGATCACCCTTATAAATGAGGCCTTGATCTCAATGGGTTCTCAATCTGCTTAAATAAAGAAACATTTATTAGATAATGCCAGAAAGAATTTGACCAGTTTTAATCCTAAACGTTTTAAATGCTAAAATCATCCGATTATTTAGAATGGGGTGTTTACCAGAATCACCCCTTGCATTTCTGTTTGTTCACTGTCAAAATAACTGGCTGACCAGATCATTTAAGAACGACAGCAACAGCACACGATAGCCCGATCTTCAACCCCGCTGCTCCGCAAACCTTATTTTCCAATTTACTGGAAGACACAATGGCAGGAAACCTCCCCCTTTTTAACCCTGGCAAATCCTCCTGAAGAAGCGAGATGCCATGTTGAATTAAGCTGTATCTGCATCAGAGATGTTCGGGCCCGCCTCATTACAACTAATTATGAACCAATTAGAAACATCATTTAACTAAACGAGCAAATAATGTTCAGGATATTGAGGGAGGCTGGCTGTGCCTCTGTGGACTGCAGCAAAAGCCATTACTAAAATTGTAGCTCTTAAATAGAATAATGACCCCCATCCCACCCCTCCTCTTCCAGGATGCCAAAAAAACAGGGTCTGAAAGAAAGAGACAAAGAGTCAGCGAGTGCAGATGAAGGAGTAAAGCGAAGGGTTCACACAACTGTTGCAGCCGCTGTATCAATACGGTCATATTTTGTGTGAGAATGAAGCCCTTTTGATGGATTTATTTATTTGTTGAGTGGTTTTAATGTGTATTTAAGCTTTTGGAACAATGCAACTGGATTTTGGGAGAAAAATTTTATTAATATGTATTTTATTATTGATTAGTATTTCATTATTTTTAAGTTATTTTTCTGTGTTTACAGAATTGATTTTTTAAATATAGAATTTAGTCTTCAAAAATATTAGCAAGATAACATCTTTAACAATAATAATACCTGCAATTTTTGTTGTAAAACAGCAGATTTAAATTGAACAACTTATTTTAGGATAAATATACCACACACACAAACATTTGCACCTTACTTTTTCTGCAAATAAATATTAAGTGTTATGAAACCCTTTTAAAATAGCTAATAAATTTATATATATTTTTAAACAATAATCCCTGAAATCTAGTAATATTATACAATTTTTATCAAATTTATACATCACACACTGTGAAAAATGCTGGGTTCCATGCAATTTCTTTCATGTTGTCCCAACAAAAATCGATTAAGTTAACTTAATTGTTTTTACTAATTTAAGTAGATTGAATAATACACAATTAAGTTGTGCCAAAAAACACAAGATTTATGTTGATTCAACTCAGTTTAATTAAGTAGTTCAAACAAGCAGCAAAACTATTTTTGAGTTTATATGTATATTTGTTTTATTCATATTTATTTTATATTTATTTCTTTTTATTTGTAGTTTTTTGTATTTATTTGTACACAAACCAATATATATATATATATATATATATATATATATATATATATATATATATATATATATATATATATATATATATATATATATATATATACACACACACATAATATATATATACCTTCATAATAGACTACAATAACTTTTTTCTTACTAAATAATAATTGTATTTTTACTTTGTTTTTGTATATTTAATTAAACAGCTTATCAAAAAAATATATATTGTGATATATATTGTGTTGTATGTACACTGTTCAAAATATTGTTCAAATCTTATTTTTTCAAAACAATAATCCCTGCACCTTGTGCTATTAAATCTAAGTATAAATAAATCCTGAGCAGCTGTAGTGCACCTCTAAAAACGGCTAATCAAGCGCTTTCTTGCATCTGCACAATCAATGTGAACTAATGGATAAATGTGATCACCTTTCATCTCTGAGAGAAAAGTTCAGCCGACTAAGATACTTTTATACCATGATTATTGATTTTGCTCAATATAATGGACTTTCTTTCTACTTCCCAATGAATGAAGTGATCAGCCTCTTTGGATTGAAGACATTAGGAAAGCTAAGCAGTTTTTGTCATGTGTGGCTATAGAAATTAGATCTTTATCTATCTATCTATCTATCTATCTATCTATCTATCTATCTATCTATCTATCTATCTATCTATCTATCTATCTATCTATCTATCTATCTATCTATCTATCTATCTATCTATCTATCTATCTATCTATCTATCTATCTATCTATCTATCTATCTATCATTTCTATCTATCTATCCTTTCTATCTATCCTTTCTATTCATACATGTTGTAGTGTGTTGTGAATGATGCCCAGTCTGAAGCGCTGCATCAATGAAATGTTGGACTCTGTCGTACTGAAAGTTATCTCAGAGTGCATCTGGAAATTACTAAGTGGCTTTATATTTAGTTATTGTCTGTGGGGGATCCAAACATAATTTCCCTTCGGCTCCTCCATTAAGATTTGATATAAACCAGAATCCGTTCAGACTCAAGCTCCTCATTCGAGCCATTAGTCTACAGCCGCTCACGTGGGGCTCATGAGTGATGTAGAGGCCAATCAGAAACATGGTTATGCTTTCCGTAAATTCATTTAGGAGAAAAGCAGCTTCTGTTAGATGCTGTTTGTAGTGAGTGACAATCATGGCAAATGTCCGTCCAAATACAGCGCTGCTTCATTATTGAGCAGTCAGACGTTCAGCTGCTGTTTCAACAAAATACAGACACACGCATCGCAGGACAACAAATCATTAGCTAAAACATGGGCACAGTTTCCAGATAGCATAAAGTCAGACATCAATATTGTTAAAAAAATACTTTTTGTTCAAATTGGAGGAACATAAATGTATGGGGCATTTTTTTTTTTTTTGATTTAGCACTGCTTTTAAATTAATAGACCAATGTCAGTTCTGATATTAGAAGAATGGAAAAACATTTCTCTCTATCTCTCTCTCGCTGTATTTATATTGCTCTCTCACTCTTTTTCTCTCTCCACACTTTATATATAGTGCCCATTACCTTCCTCATAAATTACATCCCAAACTGAATTACTCCTGCTTTTCGCTGTGCCAGGCAAGTTTGATGAATCCTGAGGCACAACACATCATCTCAACAAATCTGCTCCACACTGTCTTCCACCTCTTCAAACCACTTCAAATCATTTTCATTGCCGTGCTATTAAAATTTGTAATTCACACCTGCCATTTCACCTACAGATGGGTGTGTGAAGCAGTGAATGGAAGCGTATGTGCCTTTTTTTACGTGGTGAGAAAGCGCCGAAAACCCACGGGATGAAATTTACACGGAAGTCGCATAAGTTTATGCTCGCATGTGTGTGCTATGAGCGGTCTGACCTCTGGTCTGAGCTGTCAATCAAACAGACAGCAACAACAGTATAACTAGCAAGCCAGGAGCTTTTCTTCATCCTGCCTTTAGGGAAGTCACTAATGTTTCGGGGACTTTTTCGCCACTATTTGGTTAAGAAAGACGATTTTTTTAATGATTAAAATTTTAAATCTCAGGCCAAACAAAACTTGCATTTATGTGTGGCTAAAAACTTTGTTCTCAAAGAAAGTCAACAATTAATAAAACAATAGAAAAGATGTTTGACATGTTTAAAATGTGCCTGCATTTCTTTAAAAGTAAGCATTCTATTTACTAATATTTGTGCATTTGTTTCTCGTGGGATAAAATGCGTTATTTAATCTTCAGTCAATATAGGCTAAATTAACATATTTCGACCTGGCTTTCAAACTGTTGTCATCATGTCGGAAAAAGTAGCTACTTGTGTGTGTTGATAATGAACTTTCTCCGTGGCTGGTATAGAGAACATGGAATCAGTGCAATAGGACACCACTACACCCTTTGTAATTTGACAGCGGGTGAGTCTTATCAGATTGCACCGCGAGCACTGTCATTCTTCACTGCGGCTTCTCTGAGGCCCCGCTGCGCTTTTGACGTTCCGCTTGTCTCCGAGAATCTTTGAATGCGTGTTCGTGTGACAAGCAACATGTAATTATCCCTAATTGCGAAAGCATCAACTGGGGACACTTTACATGACCCAGTGTCAGTGTAACACAAATGTTTGTCTTGAGCTGAAAAGTAAACGAAATAGAGAACCCTGGCTGGCAGTCTATATATATATATATATATATATATATATATATATAACTTTAATAGTCATATGTTATATGGTTGATCGTGCAGGCATTCTGCCATTGTGGTAAAACTTATTAAAAAATATATGTATATAAATAAAGACATAATATATATACAAAACCACTGCATTTTTACAGTTTGCAAGGCTGTCATTCATTGTGTATTTTAAAGACCTAAATAACAAATAAATAACATACTGCATTAAATAGACAAAACATTATTAAAAAATAATTGTTATTATATCAATGAAGAATGCTATTTGCGAATTTCAGGTGATTTCATCTTAAAGACAGGGATCGAATGATTACACTTTTATTTCAATGCTTCAATCCTCATAATGTGTAAAACTGGTTAATCGGGGGACATAAATCTAAATAAAAGTACAAAATAATCATTATACACATGGTGTATTTTATAGGACATATACAGAACCGTGTTGCTTTTGTGTTTTACACGTAGACTCGTTTAATTGCTGCATAATAAGAAATATATTTTTTTCATCAAATAAAGAGGTATAAATAGACATGAATATCGTCAAACATAGTTTAAATGTGTATTTTGTACGTCTTAGTGTGTGTAATAATGTGTCATCCTTTAGCAAGGATTTTTCATTGTGCGCAAAAGTTAATATTCAATCTTGTTGTAAAGATTGTATAGTGGTAAAGCTGGTAAATTACTTCCAGGATAATACAGTGGGGTAGGAAAAGCGATGGACCTCGGAACCGGCACCCGGAGCAACGAATTTTCTCTGAAAACGAGGGGCATCCCAACCAAAGTCTGCGCCGATGCGTGCGCCATGTTCGCAGCTTCAAGTTCTGCAGAGAGCTGCCGCTTCCATTTGTTTCGCCGGTTCTGAAACCACGTTTTCACTTGTGTCTCCGTTAACTGCAGGCTGGAGGCGAGACAGGCTCTCTCGGAGCTGCTCAAATAGCGTTTCATATCGAATGTGGACTCGAGTTGATAAACCTGACTCCGAGAGAAAACGGTGCGCGTTTTCTTCTTCGCGGAGTTGTTCTGTTTGTCCGGCCCGTCGCGTTGTCTGTCTTCAGAAACGGGAGACATTTGGCTACACGCTCGCCCCTGCTCCTCTTTGTAATCCGGTAGTATGGATGGTGTCAAATGCGGCCGGCGGTCGATCCCATCTTGCACAGGTAGAAGTCCCTTTGTGGCACCTGCAACCAATGCGACACACAAACACGCACACACACATACACAAATTATCATTATGAAACTGTGCTGTAAAATCACTGCTTAAAAATAACATCCACCCAGACGTATTAATAGTTATATAAAGCGGCCATGCTTCATTGTAAACAATATGCATGAATAATGTGCCTATTAGTGCATTTAATAAATTGTTGCAAACACGTTTATTTTTAGCATGGCTGAAAAAGTAGTTTAAATTCCCGTCCATTATCAGATTCACTCAGTGTTTTTTTTTTCTGTTAGGCTAAACATTGCCATTACTCGATACTTTACACAAGAGTTCATTAAATGTGAACTCTGACTGTTTGATCGACTGTTGAAAGGTTACAAGTGCTCTGTTAAATAAACAATACAATATGACTAGCACTGGTGCACGATATTAATTAAATCGTGTTACATTTAACGCTCAATTGACGAAATGCAGCGTTGCCTTTGAAAGCCGGCATAATCAATTAGCAGACTCGATTAAATTCGGTTAATTATTTGACCTTTCCCCTGTTCACTGAGGCGCGATAATATGTCAGTTAAAACACTACTAGAGTTTTTTTTCCAGTGGAGGTAATGGGGACAGCATTTAAAAGACAGTCACTATGGAGACTAAAAATAATAGGGTTTTATATTTAGCGGTTCTGAAATGCGACACTTTTGAAGGGGACTTTTACTGTAAACAACAATACAACAGAACTGGCTATCCCGAGCAAGAAAAAACATTAAGGAAAATAACACCGGTGGGAACGTCACTCACCGAGACAGAAGTTCAGAGGCTGGTGCGGGTTGCAGGACTCTGGTACACCAGGCTCAGAGCAGTAGCAGTCACCCGAGTCCTCTCCTGCGCTGCAGTCATCCTCCGACGACACGGACAACGTCCGCTTCCTTGGCTGGGATTTGGGACTGTCCTTTCCAGCCGACCGGACTCCGTCGTTTGAGGTGCCCAGAATAGACTGGATCGTGAAACTTGAAATGGGGGCAGGCGAGCACTTGCTTCCGCTGTCCTCCGAATTATTCATTCTCGTCTCATAACAGTTCAAAAATGTTCTAAAAATGATCAGCAATAAGTCCCGCTACACATAGAGAGTGCTTTCCTTCAAATTTTAAACTGCTTCTTTATAGCTGTTGGGACGATAAAAAAACTTGTTTTTCGTGGGCTCAAATGTGTTCGAATGCATTCCTCTCCACTTCCACGCGCTCTGGTCTCAAGGCGGGTGAAACGTGCCCTCATTTGCATGTAGGTAAGACTGGGGCTGGCCAATCACGCGCTCAACGCGCGCCCGGAAATTTCAAATTTTATGAAGGTTGAATTTCTCAGTGGCTAACAAAAAAGTGTTGAACGCTCGATGGAGATTTACTTGTTGCAAATCATTAGGCTAGACTGCAAGAATGCATAGTTTTAGTCATTTTAAAGAGCAGGGAATGTAAACATGCATTAAAACAAACCATTTGGCTGCTTGTGATTCACCATGCCATAATCTGTTTTATCAGGTTTTACAGACAATATGTAATTTTACATACATTAGTAAGATAGCTTTACATAAACAACGAATTACTTTTACTATATATATATATATATATATATATATATATATATATATATATATATATATATATATATATATATATATATATAAATATATATACTGTTACTATATATATATATATATATAGGCTATGTATATCTATGTGTGTGTGTGTGTGTGTGTGTGTGTGTATATATATATATATATATATATATATATATATATATATATATATATATATATATATATATATATATATATATATATATATATAATACACACGAAGACAATGCAATATCTTTATAGTAAATTATAGTTAATACGATTTGTGTAAGTATAATAAATTAACACCTTATAATCTTCAAGGTAATTAACAGCCCGAAAATGTATTATTAATTTTCTTATTCATTTATAAACTTATATAATTAAGGGTTCGTTATATTATTTTAATGTCGAGTGTGTTACCAGTGTTTATGACCCACAGTGGCAAGAGAGTCCTATTTTATTAATACTTTCTAGTAACAAACAGGTTCAATTTAATTAAGTGCTCAGATATTTTGACAATTATATAATATTAACATATGATTTGATGGCTGATTAATAGTGTCAAATGTAATATATATAAAATAAATAAATAAGTAATATAAAATAAGTAATAAGTAATATAAAATAAATAAATAAGTAGGCTACTTGTCAGTATCTAGCTTAGGGATGGTCCACATTGTTTTGTTATTGCCCCAAAACCTAACTGCTTACGCACACAGAATATAACTTTGAGGATAATTTACAACAATCGTTTTAATAGCGTTCTGTGGGCTGATGGATAATTATTCATTGTCATGTACATGCCTCTGGTTTCCCACTTTGATAAATTATGATTACTATTGCTTCTAATTTCAGTAATGTCCTGCTTCCTTATTGACATAATATTTTTTAGCTGTTTACAAGATAAAGATTTTTTTTTTTTGTTAATTTACTGATATTTACTAGATTTTAACTTATGTAGGAAGCTCGTGTGAACAGACTGTACCTCTGAAAAAAATTACGTTTTACCCAATAATGCAATTCAGTATGATTAACTCATCAAGAATCCTGTTTAAACAACTTTTAATATAGACTGTAATTATACGACACTAACTGTTTGGTGGTCTTTGTTTAGTCGTTGGCATTTCAAGTACACGCCTGGAGTTCTCAAATTCACGCACTTATCAGTAACCAACATTAAACCAACTCCGCAGTAATTACAAGTCATCTGAATCCATAGTTTAGTTCAAAATCATATATCTTATTAAAAAGTCGTTTTAAATTCCACTAGGCTTGTGCTATAAATGGCAAATTGGTCAAATAATCCAACACACAGTCAAGGAACTAATAATGGATCTTCTCTCATTTTTCTTGAAAATAATAAACCCATTCCACGTCCATTATCTCCGTTTAAGAATTAATTTGATCATTATGGTGGGCTAATCTACTGCCTCTGTGGGCCAGCTAGAGCGGGCAGGACTCTGTTTAATTGATTGACTAATTGATTGGGGGGTGGGCGCTCGCCCCACCCCTGACTCGTGTCTCGAGGGCAGCTGTGGCTCTGCCACATTAGGTCTCGTTAGCGTTTTCTAAAGGCGGGCGACACTTAACAAATGCTCTGGCTTTGTCGTGCTGACAGCGCGCGGACACCTAATGGAGCAGAGGGAGCCAGGGTTGAGCGATCCCGACTACACATTTTAAAGGTCGGGAGTATGCCCTGCACACATGGGTCTCCCAACCACATAGACTGGGCCACTGCTGTTAAAAAGGCTTCAAATTTAAACATTTTCATTTTAAAGTAAAATATTTGTTATACTTAGTCAGAATCTATAATTGACAACATTAACATTAATGGAGAAGCTATTTTTTTACATTTATTCATGTATTTATTTTTTCCAAAAAAAAAAAAAGGTTCTTTGGGTTTCTCAAATGTTCCTTACACAGAAATTGTTTCTTCAGGAACTGAGAGGTTCTCTAGTGAAACAAAAGTGTTTCTTCTATGGCTTTACTGTTTTATAACATTAATTTCATAGAAGTAGCCTATAATGCATAACGTCTAATCCAAAAAGAGCCACATAAATAAGAAACATGTTCTTAAACGAACCTCTGAAAAATCTTAATTTTGAATAGTTTCTGTTCTCATTTGCAGTATGTGTGACTAGCTCAAACATTTGGAAGATATTTGTTTGGTCTAGCAAATACGACACGTGCGCTATATATGTACACGATGATGGAAACGATGTGGTTGAACTGTCACAATCTGCAACTCTGTTTGGAACGGTTGTTAAAGAGACCTATTGTAAGAGACCATATGCCCACATATAGCCATTTAGTGCGTAAAATATGAGTGTCTAGTTCACAGCGGCTCAACGATTTATGGCGCATTCACATAAGGCGTGAAATCCGCAATGATCGTTAAAGAGCCGGTTTTATATGCTGCGCCTGTCAGCCGAGGCTGGATAGCTTAAAGGCCGTTTAGACATATTAAACAAAAACAATACACCAGAAATGGAGGCCCCTCACGGTGTTATATTGAACGTGTTTGGGAAGGAGGGAGCAGTATTATCATTTTTTTGTTGATGTGCAGCTGTTAATGTTTTATAGTGTGCAAAATTTTTGAAAAGTTGTTTCTATTAGCCTATTGACCACGACGGCAAACTGAGCACCTATAAGTTTTGCAAATACCTAGACAGGTTTACTGTGATGAACACCCAATGATTATGGGACAATCGGTCTTGCGTTCAGAAAGCTAAAGATCTTTCAAATCCGGCTGAACAGGCTTTTTGGCACGTGCTGCAGCAGATAGTAATGACCGAACATACACATCGAGCTCTGGTAAAAATGCTTTCCACTAGAAAGACAGATGAAGTCATGGGCGCCTTTGATCTGAAAATCAAGCTTCGATAAATATTAAACAAAGGGCCCTTTACACGTGTGTATTGTGATATATGGCATGTCCAACTTTAAGATAAGGAAATTACCAGAGAAAATGATATCAATAAATTTTCTAAGTATAAACGCTGATTATGTTTCGATTTTCATTCAAGATTCTGAGGCTGGTCTTTTATTTTTTCTCAAATGGTTTTTGGAGAGAGAGAGAGAGAGAGAGAGAGAGAGAGAGAGAGAGAGAGAGAGAGCGAGAGCGAGCAGGCGGGAAGCTCAAGCCCTGGAGGTGTACAATTTATGTAATCTACGGCTGGGAAATGAATTGGGTAATTTATTGGAAAACAGAAAGTCAAGAAGATTGGATCAGTATAGTTCAACCAAGGGCTTCTATTCATCAAGATCCAATTAACAACCTAACCATTGAGTCTTAATGGGTTTCCAATCTACTGCTCTGATATACTCATCAATCCCTGAGGGAGAAATTAAGCGAATCGACCGCCCCTCGGCGTTGTGGTGTCATTCCTCTCCGCAACTATATGTCAAATTAAAAACACAATTAAAATTTAAACTGTTTCAATCAGAGGCTGCCCCGCAACCTATGTTTCACTTAATAGAACTTTGATGAAAATCTGATGCTCGCTTTCAATCACAAAGGCAAATGGGAAAGGTGGAGCAAAAAAGAAGATATCCTTTTTCCCTGAATAACACCAAAACATTTCAAGAAAGTAATAAGCAAAGATAGGCCAGTTTCCTCTAAAGTGTTGTACGTAGGATTGAGTTCACGTTCTCGCCGTCTATTGTGGGTAAATGTACTTTGCAGAGCGCTGAAAAACATTTTCCCTACACAGCGAAAGATAATTCAATTGGGCAGATGATGGTCCATTTTGTCAGCCTCATCCTGTGACGCAGTGAGTTGCTATCCTTTCCGCTTGAAAATATGAGGTCGGCCAACTAAACGTAGGCTATCGTTTTTTATCGAAATTGTTAAATCACCGTTCCGTCAGTTTTGAATAGCCCAAGCTTTGATGACATGACAACCCCGTCAGATTCACAAAGGGAATAGGAATTTTCACGTTTACAAAAAGTGATTTATGAACACAAATGAGGGGAGGGGATTGTTATAGCCGGCTATTTGAACTATTTATCCAGAGTCTTCTAACGTCTATGTTAATGCGCAGAGAGCATGTTGTCTGTTTACCCCCACCCCCTTCTTTGCATAAAGATATGGTCAAATGGAAATTATCGAGTGATAATTCTTTTTCAGTTTATGACAGTGGATCAAGGTCATCAGTAAGCCAACAGGAAAAAAGAACTGTTAACAATGCCCTTGATTTGAAACAATATTTTACAGACGTTAGCCGATCAATACTCGACAGGCAATAATGCCTCTGCGATCTATTAATTCACCGTAATGGGCTCGTGCTGAGCTTGCATTATATTATACGTCAATATAGGAGTTATGATTATTAGGCGGCGGTAGGCTATTTGAATGTGCTCTTGGCTGAGTGCTTAGACCCAACGCAGAGAGTTGATTTCGACTTTATAGAGGAAGAGCAATAGGAAGACCAATGCTTGTCGATGAGCTTGACTGACCTATATTAAAGTTCTCTCAATGCTGGGCAATGCCTTTGTATTATTATTATTATGATAATTATCATTATAATTTATATTATTATTATTATTATTATTATTATTATTATTATTATTATTATTTTATTGCCTCAAATTTG